TGTTCCCAGGAAAAAATGCCCCACACTAGGAATCAGATCATCTGTAAGGATTATGCCATTATCCAGAGATATAACTTTGGACACATCATTTGGCCTCTATGGGCCAAATGGGCCTCTATGGGCCTCAATTTCCTTATCTTTAATATGCAGATTGGGTGGAATAATCTCTTAGGATGGCGAGTGGTGTTTTTGTGTGTGCTGTTACCCAAATGATCACCAGGGGCAATGTGGCTGACCTGACTGGCCAGGCAAGCAGGTGTCTCCTTTGCTCCCTGGGCTTCAAGTGTCGGTGGCATCTCAGCTGAAGAGCATCTTTGCAGAGAGAGAGGAGTGAACTTTCATCCTGACCCTATGAGAGTACTTGTAGTGTCTACACCAGCTCTGCCATTTTCTGAATTTGGATTTTTTTTTTATCACCTCCCTGCTCATTTTCGGTCAAACTGTTAAAGGAACTCAAATAAGTATAGAAGTTAAGGCATTAGTTGCTACATTAAAAAGTAGTAGAACTAAATGTTCCGCTAAAAGAAACGAAGGAACATCAAATTCTATTCATCCTTACTCATTAAAGCCTCTGGGCTCTAATTCCTCTTTAAGTGTCTTTTAAGTTTTCCAAGAATTCAGCTTGGAAGCAAAGAAGCTTTGGGCATTTAGCAGCACAATCCGAGGCAGCCGTCTATTTCCCATGTGTCACGGGCAGTTCCTTCCAGTGGCCGCCAGAAAGCACTGCTTTTTCGAGACATAACTAAGACTTTCAAAGTTGCCTATGGGCATTTCCACCCCTGTCTGCCTGCCATCAGCAGCATTCTGTTGCAGTGAAAGCAACTGGGAAAATTGGCCTCATTAACAAAGAGACTAGGCGAATCTAGCCCTGAGGCCTGGTTGCCAGAGATGCAAAGACTGCCTCCTCCTTAAGTTTTGTTTTTAATAAAATTTCCATTCACATTTCTAATTGTCTTAAAGAGTTAAAACATTAAGAAGGTAGGATTTGACCAAGAGGTGGAAAAGCATGGAAAGTGGACCAGGAACTTGCCAGAAGAAACTAGTTCAAATGCAGCATGCACGGAATTGGGAAGGCATCTGAAAAGTTCATGTGTTTGGGAAAGTGTCTTATAGGCAAAATAATCTTCAAAATACTGCTGATTTAGAAAATGTAAAGCTAGCAAAATGTGCTTTGGAGATCTTACAGCTTGGAGAGCTTGGCTTACCTGACTTTGGCAGGTGATAGAATGGGAGTGGTTCATTTAGCCTGTTTTGCTCAAGTTAAAGCCAATAACCCTAATGTCTTGAGGGATCATATGTGATTCCTTTGTCCTAGTGAACCAAACAGGAGTCTGAGAGGAGACACATTGATCTTTAAGCTCTTTTCTGGTACCGATTTGTGTGGTGACCTTGAGAATGTCACTTTTCTATGGGGGGAGACCAAGAAGTGTCGATGATCTTTGCTCCAGTAACACTTCATGAAATTGCCCAGAAACTCATCTAAGATAATTAAAACAAAGAGGAGAGTAGGTGGTATCAAAATGATTCCAGGGCATTATATCCTCATTAAATGCAGCTAGGCCTCATGGGAACTTGGGATGAGGATCAAGAAACTTATCGGAGACCTAGATGATCTCTTTAATGTCTGTCTCTCTCCACACAGATTCTCCCAGTACATCTGCTCCAGTTTATGCTCCTTTTGGCATAAAAGTTTTCCCCTTTTACCCAGTTCCAATCCCACTTGTTGTATGATCTTAACACATTACCTAAACCATCTGAGCACCAAATGAAGGTCACAGAATTGAGCTACTTGCTGAGATCTTTCAGATCTTTCACCAGTGCAGAAAGAGCAAGGAATTACTATACTCCCTGTATATTACAGGATCCAAATGATACATTGTGCTCAGTCAGTTCCTAACAGTGATGGCAGCTGGGTCAATAAGTTATTGTCACCTGAATCCAAGAGAAAGTAGTCGCCAGAGTGTATGAAAATGAGGCACTTTCATCTCCCTTTCTGAGTTTTGCTGTCAGGCTATATCAGAGCTGACCCTTATTAGGAATGATCCTCCCAATTGATCAAGGGCTCACCTGGTATAAGCAACATGTGAGGAAACAAGCTTATCTTAAGGAAGAATGTTTCATGTAAAAAAATACTTGGGAGTCAAGAAAGACTCATATGAGGCTGTTATATGGATATATATTTAATATATGTGAATGTGGTTACAGATACATATTTGGTGCCTTATTTATTAAGAAGCATAAGTCATACAGTACATAAAGTATTAGATACAAAAATCAGAAGACAATCACAATTATTCCTGTATTTAAAACATATCGGATAAATGCTTACAAATGGATTTATAAACCTTTTATTTCTCCTGCCTGTGTCTCATGTAGATGAGTTGCAAGTTGCATCATTTTCAAAAAAAAAAAAGTTTCTTCAAATTCTGATACTATATGACATAGAAAGAAGTTTTGGCAAAAATTATTTACTTGTCTCTGGTGGCCAATTTCTCAGCATTTTTCTTTGTTTTGTCTATGCCTTAGACTGTACATTTTTCTAGACAGGAAGTTTAAGTGCCTTTAATGTATTGTTAGATAACTGTGGTTAGATCCAACTATTTTAAATAATTTCTCTTGCGGGGGGAGAAAAGGAAGAGAGATATAGGGATGAGGTGTGGAGGAAAAATGTCTCAGGTGAAAAAACAGTTAACTGTGCAAGAGGCTTATTAAACTGGATATGAATGCTAAGAGGTTAATTTGTAGCTTCACTACTAGAAAAATAAGATTGCTATCGATCTGTGAGCTAAGGATAGTATTCCAAAGTGTTTTGCTTTTGTTTGTTTGTTTGTTGTTTGTTTTTTGGCCTGTCACTCTCTGCTATGAGTTTCCATTCAGAGCCATCAATGTCTCCTCAGTCGAAAGAGTTGACCTTTTTAGTTTCTGGATGGGTAAGAGGTGCTGGGAAAGCCTTTCTTCAAATATCTGTTGTTCTGGTTTGCCACAAGAACTGTCTGGAGAAAAGTGTATTTAACACAGAGAGCAGCTGCTAAATTGTTAACTAAAGAGCCTTGTGCCAAGCAAGTGTTAAATACATACTTGTCTAATGGAATGAAGAGACTAGAAAACCAGAGCACTCTAATAGCAATTCAGTCAGGATATACCAAGATGCACCAAGACTTATGTCCAAAACCTACGTGGAGCCCCCTAGTCCTTGGATTTGGATGCTTGGATGCTGGAAACTACATTCTCCCTTCTCTGTTTTCTGGCACATCCAAGCCAAGTGGGGAAAGGAGAGCCTCCATATTTGCTCTTTTTTCTAGTGAAGGCTTCCTAGGATGAAAAAATGAAGATTCTCCTCTAGTTGCATTGTGAGTTAATATGGAAGGCTCATTCTTCCTACAAATATGGAAGACGATAGTAAGAAGCAGTTTGGTTTTCAATCAAACTGAATCGCTCTTAAAAGTTTCCTAGCAAATGAATGAATTTCATAGGTCTGGGCACTCACTTCTTTGACACTTCCCTTCTCTTCTGTCTTCCCTTTCTTCTCATGACCCATTCTCTTCTAAACGTGTTAAATTCCTAGGAAACAGGGGAAATGGTCTGCTAGAGGGAACAGTTTCAGGAATAAAAATCATTTCCTGAAATATAACTAGGCTTTTAAATGATTCTCTATTATCAAATTTCTTATGGGATAGATAGTTTGGCAAGGCCCGAGAAGGGGATGCTTATTAGTTTAGTGATTGATTTATCAATGGCCAAGTTTTTATTGAAACTTCTGTACACCTGTTTTTCTTGGGGAAGAAATTAATAACTCCCATCATAGTGAAATATATTGTGTATGAGATTACATCAGTCAAGTAAAATCTATGGCTTCGTAGAGGATGGAAATAAAAACAAACTCTTTCACTAAGTTCTTCTCTTTATGCACTAAAAACTGAAATCTACCTAAAAACATAATTTATATAATAGAGAATTGGAGTACATGGGGTACGGAGAATAGGGCATAAAAATGCTTCCATATATTTGACTTTATTGATTTGAAAGCAAATTTATTGAAATGTGTCAGTTCTGCATTTCGAAAGGTATCTATCTGGGAGAAAGGAAATTGGGTGTGTGTGCATATGTGTGTGGCTAGGGGGTTAGATGAAGTGTTGTTCCCATGAGCAAGCACTGCTTTATCAGACAAACATGGAACACAGCCTCCTAATTAACTGTAGAGTTGATAGTCTGTCTCTTTGTCCTGGTCAGTTGAGATCTTAATCTGAACCCAACCCCAAACCATATCAAAGCCAGGCAGAAAAACAGGTTATGGGCTGTTACATGGGCTAATCTTAGGTTTCTCTCAAGAATGAGAAGCATATACTTCTATTTCCACTGACCACAGTTTTGTTCCACCACCTTTCTACATCCCAAATTCACTCACAACTGTAGTTAACATTTTCACAAGGGAGGAAAATGCAAGCACCACAGGGCTCTTGTAGCAAACTTCATACTTTCCCAGGCAATTGACTCAAGGGAAAGTGGTGAGGACAGGGAGGAAGGGAAGGGAGTGATAAATAGATGTTACACATGTTTTTCCTGGAAAGATCATCCCACTGTTTCTAAGTTCCCAAAATTAAAAGAATGTATTTTCTTTGTGTCACCATGGAAATTACCAGTAACACAGGTTTTGTTTCTCTTCTCTACATTTCAAAAACTTTCAAAAGCTTTCAAAGAAATTTTCTAGAGCAGTATGTTTAGTTCCTCATTTTGGCCTAGCATATTTGTATTTTTTAATTGTACTATTTCATATGTTACAGGAGTTTTTAATATGTGTATGTGAGTGCATACTGCTTTAAATATAAAATTATATATAGATTGATATAGATAGATAGATATAGATAGATATAGATAGATAGATATAGATAGATAGATAGATAGATAATAGATAGATAGATAGATAGATAGATAGATAGATAGATAGATAGATAGATAGATAGAATATGTCACCATTTGACTGAAGAACATTCCTTCTCTCATTTTTTTTTTGCAGCCCTCACTGCACTGCCCCTGTGGGGCACCCCCTTTCCTGCTCTCTGCCTTCTGGATTCAGGTTATGAAAAGGTAAGGTCTCCTGGTTTTCCACTGACCAGTCTACCCACTTTCATAGGGTATGCAGTCAATTTGTGAATACAGTTAATCAGAGTTTTCATAACATCAATTATCTGGGTGAGATCTGCAGTATCTAGTTAATTCTCTGGGCATTTTCAAACATTTGGCTATTTCAAATAATGTGAATAAAATATTTGAATTTTTAATTAAATTAAATAGTTTCTTAAAACTGTTTTGGCATTCAAGAAAAAATAACTCACTTAGATTCTTGGGTAAAAGGCCAGCACTTTTTCTATTGGTTTGGGGCAGTGTAGACAGTTCTTGAGGAAGATTGTGCTAGAAGTGCACCCTGGGAATTTGTATCAGAGTTCCTTGTCAGTCCTACACAAATGCATATGATAAGAACTTCATGATCACAATATTGAACAAGCCTCACTATGAACTGCTTGAGGAAAGGATTTTCTTTGAAGGGGGCAATATTGACAAATATGAATGAATTCATATCACTAGCAATTGTTGGCTGCATACCCAGTCACTCTACCCATTTTCAGAATGTCAAATGGCAAGCATTCAGGAAGGGCATATAATCCTTTGAAATCACAAAAATAGGAAAAATTCAACAAGCACAGTTAGTGTTTATCTGAAGAACAGAGTAACATAGGTGCTTCACTTTCAACATTCTTAGTAAATAACTGAATAAATGAGCTACATATGGGAAATTAGGAGTGTGTGGAATAAAAATGGAAACCAAAAAGAGGAAAACAAGACTAAACAATGTAATCTTCTACTTAAACATTTCATAACTTTATTAATCCTTTAAAAAACACCCTCTTTCTTTTGAATTAACTCAATATCCTCATCTTGATTACCCTCATACATGGTTTAGTTTGGTTTTATTTATCACTAAATTATGTGAATCATTGCCTAATAAAATCTACTAAAGATTAGAAAAAAATTTTAACAAGACTTATAATGATAAAATGCAGAATTAGAAGTTTAAACCTACTAAAAAAATATCTTGGCCTGTCAATTAGCTGTGTAAGAGGCATCTCAGGAGTATAAATCTATACTTTGACTATAAGCACAATTTACTAATGCAGGATGCAAAATAGTGAAGGAAGATTAGAGTTGCTAAAATATCACATTTTTATTTATTCTTTGCAAAATGCAGGGTACTTGATAATTCTGTCTCACTTAGAAAGCTTCTATAGATAGTCACCTTAATTTTTCCAAGGATGATTTGGTGTTTTGAAGATAATTTTCATTATCCTATGATAATAGCACCATAGGATAATTAGCCATTTAAGCTTAATAACTTTTTTCCTTTTTAGTATAGCCCTCTTGATATTGAGGTGGGAGACCACCCCACTGGAGCAAGAGTTTTATTTTTGATTAGAATTAGAAATTTTGGAATTTTACACTCACAAGGATTTCAAATAATTTGGAAACTGAACCATTTGACCTATATGCTAGGAGCATAGATAAATTTCTTTTTAATGTTACGTTGTTGATTTAAAACACAATTTGGTAACTTTATGGGGAGGCAGTGAGGGAGGTATAAGGAAAGAATTGCTATGAATTATGTTCAGACTAATTTTGTATAAACATCATATTTTCATGGTTATGTTGTGTTTCTTACTTATATCCAGGTAACATGAAGGTGTTCCAAGGAAAGATCAATATTTTAAATATTGTATTTGCTTAAAATATCAAATAGCGACTGTCTCATAAAAATCATATCACCTTTTACTATCCAAATGAGAAATAACTAGAGGGGTGATCTCCCTGGATCAGAATTAAAACAAGTGAGATCAATTAAGCTCCCTTGAAATTGGTCTTTCCATATCCACACTCTTTTTCAGACCAATTTCGGTGGAAATCTACTGCCCAAATCCACATTTAATGATATATTCTGGTCTTATAATAATTTGCCTTTCTGTGGATTTTTCTGTGGTTCTCATTGGATCTGACTATTAACTCAGTGGGGCTCAATTAAGAATGGGGCAGGAAGAAGAAAGTGGGGAAAGAAGGCATTTGGACAATAGATAAACAGCCAAAACAATATGGAAAAACAGAGTAAGCAATACTCCCTAGTATCTTTGAGCAAAGCTGCTGTGGGAAGATATGTAGGTTACTGGAAAATGCAAGGTTATCGTGGAGGGAATTAACTCACAGGATGATTTTCATAGTGTGACTCAATTACTACTTGATTAACTCCTGATAAAACTCAGAGCGCACAAAGCGAGGCAGTGAATCCTTTTCCATCAGAGCATGAATTCTTTTCTGGGCCACGTCAAAGCTGCTCAGGGAAGGTTCCACCAGGTTCTTCATTGTGATGTCCTTAGTGAAGTGGTCAATATTCACCTGTGGGCCAGGAAACAGGGTCAGTGATCAGCCCAGGTTATAGGATTTGAAGAGGGGTGGAGAGGGAGGTGGAATTACTCACCAGTAAAACATAAGAGGGGAGGGAGGTCATAACAAGTGACTATTTTATAGCACTCGGGTAAGGCAACTGATGGTCCAATAAATGTACGACTCAGATTTAAAATTCAACCAATGCTAGACACTCACCAGGTGTCAGACCCTCCCTAGTGGCTCACCTACACATTCCTCATTGAATCCTGATGACAACACCAAGAATGACTCTTTTCCTTTTATAGAAAAAAATATGTGGATGCAGAGGGTTAAGTGGATCACAGAGCCGCTAAGTGTATTTGAATCCAGAGAGTACGAATTTGAATCCACATGTCCTGATGCCTCATTCCAAACTCTTCCTACTACAGCATTTGGTTTCACGCCTAGTGTAGGAATTGAAGAGAGAGAAAGAAATTCTGAGCAGGGATCCAGGACCTTTTTGCATGGCTCCAGAAGAGCAAGGAAATTTGGTCTTTCCTTAAACAAACGTTCTGGCAGAACAATAACAAGCATAGCAGCTAATAGCCACTAATATTTATTGAGTGCTTGGTCTGTGCCAAGTGCCATGCTGAGAACTTTACAAGGACGAACTTATCTAATATTATAACTCTGTGAGGTAGATGGTGCCGTCTACATTTTATAGTTGAGGAAACAGAGGCACAGAAATGTTACATAATTTGCCCAAGGTTCACCGGTGGTAGAAAGAAGATTCAAAAACCCAGCAATGTGGCTCTAGAGCTGAGCGTTTAACCAATAGACTACAGCATTGGAAGGTATCATGGATTGTATGCCCTGAGTTCGGGGCCACTACATCAAACAACTCCTAGGGACATCACTCATATTAGGGTCTATGTGAATAGTGCCCCTGGGGTTGTGCAGGGTACAGACTGTATGAGCTGCCCTGAGTATGATTTGAATCTCCATACTTCGTGTTGTATGCTTTACTGACTCTTAAGGAGCCTGAGCATCAAAGAGAAAGATGTAGAATCCCAATAAGCCAGTGGTTCTGAATTAGAATGTTGAAAAACATTTCAGGTCTCTCCTGGGCTGCTAGAGGTCCTTGGTCCTGAAAAGAGCTATTCGGGCTCAGACAATTATGAAACAGCTGTTAGCTGGAGCCAGAGACAAAGGCATGTTTGATTCCCAGGAAAGCCAGGCCAGAACAGACAGCAGGGCCAAGCAGTGCTTCAAAGTCCAGGACGAAATGAGTTGAAGCTACAGAAGGATTTCTCCGCAGGTGAAAGGGGCCAGTGTGCTGTATGCAGGCGTGGTGGAAGACAGACTGTCAGAACTGGGGTCAGCCTCAGCGGTGATGGAGTCCACTGCCTGTCTTTACATGTGAAGACTCGGAGGCTCAAAGAGGTCAAGTTATATGCCCATGAACAGCTAGTGCGAGACAGAGGTGAGGCCATAATATAGATTTCTCTGTTCTCAGTCTATTATTCTTCCCATCACACGAAGGCAATGCTTCTTCCTTCTCTTATATTAAATGTATACCCGTACTAAGCTGGGAAGGCAGTTTTACTCCAAATGGTTGAATTTCTAGAAATTATAAAAGCATCTCCCTAATCTGATTTTATCGAAATAGTGATGCATTTAAAATCTTCTATTACATACTATCCACCAGCAAATAGCAGCTATTTCTCTTAATATTTTGATGCACATTGGCTTTCTTCAATGAGTCATTCTGATATATATTCATCTGTTTACTGATCCAGAAAAATACTATTTCATTAATTTTAAATATGTTCCACTGATAATTTGCAATGTACAAATTGACCTACACATAGCCATTTGTCTTTTTAAATCTTTGTTCTGATTCTTATCAATGTATCTTTCACTTCTTCATATTAAAGAGCAGAGGTGAATACTCAAAGGAAGAAAATTTACAATACTATTTGCCTGGGTAAATTTCTTACTTAAGTCAATGGTAAATATTTATGTCAAAATACAAGATTTGGAGAATTTTTTAACAAAAGCCACAGCTTATTAAACATACTCCAGGTGCATATACAAATATGTAAGATGTTTACAGTAGGAAGAACTGAGGATTAGAGAGCTTTAGTTAGAAACTTACCCAAAGTCCTATATCGATCTCGGAAGGTCTGGAGTTGGATATTTGCATCCTGTTATTTCACAAATATTTACTGAATGCCTTTTATGTTACGGAGCAAGATTCACATCTTCTCTAATTCCCAGCTCAGGCTCATTATTTGGGGTTGCCTGTATTTGGGGGTCTTATGTATACTATTATACTCCTACACATGCATACATCATTTAGAATGAAGGTCAAGGCTATTTTAATTGCAGCCTTGCAATTTGTGGCCACCATTTATTTGTTTGAGTAACTGAGCTAGCCGGGGTGTTATTTATTTTGAAGCTCTATTGTTAATGTTTCATATTTTCATGATAACCAACAACATATTAATAAGGAACCTTGAGAACAATGTTTTCCTAGATCTCAGACCTTACTTACTATAGTCTGGATGGGTTTCTACTATTCTAATATTTCAACAAATGCTGGAATTCTGTGAGGAAGAATGAAATTGGTAGGAAGGTAGACTGGGAATGGGGAAGCCACTTGAAATGGGAAAAATGTGTGTCTAATTTGACATTAAATTAATTTTCTTATTAGCATATACAGAGAGATTCCACTCTGACCAAGGAAAGGATTGCCCAGCACAAATGGTATCTGAAGTAGGGTAGAGCTAACATACATGCTTGAGGTGAGAGGTTGAGAAATAGAAGGGAAGATCTGATGATAATTCCTGAACTATGCCCATGAAAAGTCTAAACACGGACTTTTTTAGAACCTTTTCATTTTCTCAACTTTGACCCATGATGATCTATACTCTCACACTTCTAACCTCTACCTCCTGAATCACGGAGGGAACACATGGTTTCCCACCATGGTTGGTTTTAAGGTATATGATTTGTCCATCCACTCAAACATATTTACCCTTTAAAAAGGGTCAGTGAGGGATAATTCACAGCCAAAGGAATAAATATCTAATGGTAAAACTTTGGTAGACTAAAGCACCTGTGGGAGAAAAGAGATATTGGGTGGGGGTTTTCCCCTGTCAAATCATCTTAAGTAGATTACTGCCTACCCCGAGGGCTTGCTCAGATCATCTCTGTGCTTGACTCCAAACCTGAATGAAACACTTAATGTCCAGACTGGATTAAAGGTAACAAGTGGAATTAGAGTAACCTGACCAAAATATAATGAACAGAACTTGCTGAGGCCATCCTGAATTTCACAAGAGGCTTTTCGATGTGGTTTCATAAATAGCAAAGAAAAGAGCAAATGAACTTCCTCAAACCTTCTTTGAAATTAACACATATCTTGTCTTTAGTAGTCAATTAGTGGTATATTGGCTTTCAACATCTCTAGCTCTGTTATCTTGTAATATTTTGATTTTCAGGAGTAGATGTCCTATTGTCCCAACTACAGTGAAAATGGCAAAGGCCTGGGGTGGAAAATAAATGACAGAGAAAAATAGAAGTGGGAGAAGAGATGAATTCAAAAGAAAAGAAAGAAAAAGAAAGGGAAGACAAAGGAAAGAGGAACAAAGAAAAGTGGCAGGAATACTCATTAGGCATTATTTAGTTCAGATACTGAGATACAGGTTGAGTATTAGTTATCTGAAATGCTTTGGATCAGAAATGTTTTGGATTTTGAATTTTTTTCAGATTTTGGAATATTTGCTTATGCATAATGAATTACCTTGGGGATAGGACCTAATTCTAAATGCAAAATTCACTTATCTTTCATATATCTTTATACACATAGCCTGAAGATAATTTGATGCAATATTTTTAATAATTTTGTGTATGCAACGAAGTTTTGACTGTGTTTTGACTGAGACATGAGGCCAAATGTGGAATTTTTCACTTGTGGTGTTATGTTGGTGCTCAAAATGTTTCAGATTTTGGAGCATTCTGGACTTTGGATTTTTGGATTAAATATGCTCAACTTGTATATGTTTTTACATCTACTGTGTAATTGAATCCTGATAACAATTCTACAAAAATAGTCTTCATTATTTTCATTTTCACAAAGAAAGAAACTAGGTTCAGAGAGATTCAACAATGTATCTAAGGCCAGGCGCGGTGGCTCACGCCTGTAATCCTAGCACTCTGGGAGGCCGAGGCGGGTGGATTGCTTGAGGTCAGGAGTTCGAAACCAGCCTGAGCAAGAGCGAGACCTCGTCTCTACTATAAATAGAAAGAAATTAATTGGCCAACTAATATATATACAAAAAATTATAACCGGGCATGGTGGCGCATGCCTGTAGTCCCAGCTACTCGGGAGGCTGAGGCAGCAGGATTGCTTGAGCCCAGGAGTTTGAGGTTGCTATGAGGTAGGCTGATGCCATGGCACTCACTTTAGCCTGGGCAACAAAGTGAGACTCTGTCTCACAAAAAGAAAAACAAAAACAATGCATCTAAGATCTCACACTGGTGTCATTCCACTTGAGGTTACATGCACTGAAGTGAGACTCATATATATGGTCTAAACAGGATTTCAGTTTATATCTGCTTGATCATTTTGCTCTGGCTTTGTATTCAGTAGGGGCTTAATAAGGTGGCCTACTCACAAATAGGAGTAGCTTTTGGCTACCAACAGCAGGTCTGTACCTCCTGTGTGAGTCCCTCCTGGGAGTTTGTGAGCTGCCCCCTCCTTGTCTGGCCACACTTGCCCACCTACCCACCAGGACCGACCTCTTTAGGAGCCTCTGTTTGGATGAATTCTTCATAAATTTGCTTTGCCTTCTCGGCCATCTTGGCAGGGGACTTGATCTTCTTGTAATCCTGACAGGCAATCCAGAACTCAAGGTTTTCCTCACTGAATTCAGACTTCAGGAAACTTTTGAAACTGGCAAGTCCATCTAGCAAGGAAAAAAGTTAGTTGGGGAAATTTATTAATTTATTTCACTAACGCTACACTTTGCCGTATAGCCTAGGCATACTTATTATATATTTCCGTCTTTTATGTAGGAACCTTACAAGTGTTAACTCATTTACTCCTCATCACAAAACTAAGAGGTAAGTGCTATCAATATCCCATCCCATAAATGAGGTCAGAGAGGTCAAACCGACTTGCCCAGAGAGAACCACCTGGTAAATGGCAGCGTCGGGATTCAAACCCGGGCTGCCTGACTCACGAGTCCGTACATGTATCCAGTTTTCTAAGCTACTTCTCCACAGATGCATGATTCAGCTTTGTGGAACAGAAAGTGTCTAATAACGGCTGCCCACTTTCTACTGCACTTGGACTGGGAGAAAAATACAAGGCCAGAATACATGTCCTAACAGTGAGAGAATGGGAAACGAATTAGCAGTGCTAGCCTATGCACAAAGTTCTAGTTCATTCATGCCTGCCTTTCTTTATGCCTTCATTTGGATGGAGAAGGGATAAGGCAGATATGGAAGACGGAAAGATAGCAGAGAACACAGAGCTTCAGCCCTGCTCAACTCAGGGGAACTCTGGGACTAGACAGAGGGACTTACTGCACTCTCCTTTAAAACAATTGACTGCAGTGTATATTTACATGACAAACTACCTGTTTATGGTATTAAGGGACATTATTAACAGTCACGCCATTCTGGACGCGTACCAACTACCAAAGAGAAAATAGTACGTTTAAAATTTGGTTTGTCAGAATAAGTAACATTCATGCTGAATATCTCATGTAAACTACTTACAATTCTTTTTTTTTTTTTTTTTTCCTTTCGACAGATGATTTTTGAGTATTTTTTTTTTTTTTTTTTTCCTTTCGACAGATGATTTTTGAGTAACTATTATGCTCCAGGCACTGTGACAAGTCACTGGGGTAAGAGAAAAAGGTCTGCTCCCTGCCCCGTTGGAGCTTATAGACTCTGGGGGAAGTAGGAGGAAAGTGAAGAAACACAAGAAACAAGAAATGTTTACGCCACGAAGGGAAAACTTTATGAAAGATAGTAATGGAGTCACGGGAGGGCCCTAACTTTATTTTGGGTTTAGTAAAGGCAAGGAAGTAACATTTAATCTGAGACCTGAAGGATGAGCAGGAAGGGCCAGATGAATGCACATGCAGAACAGTTATTGTGTCCATCAGTTAGATGCCAGTTTTTAAAATGTATTAAAGTTAATATGATTATAACTATTGTGTTTCTGTTCCCAGCATACTATTGTTAGATAAACTTCAGTTTATAATTAATATATATATACACATATATATGAGTATGTGTGTATATATATATATATATATATATACACACACACACATATTTATATATGTATAAGAGGATTCTTGTGCCTAATCCTTTTGCTTTCTTTTTTTTTGCCTACCCTTCCAGCATTAACCTCCAAACCATGGTAAGGATTTAGGAAACACTGGAAATAAATTTAAAAAATATGTAAATCTTCAATATTTTTCTTCTCTTTAATGCTGAATATATATATGTAGATAATTTTTTAAACCAAAATTCTAACAAATGTGTATCTATAGGGAGAGAATCCACGCTCATTTATTATCTAAGAAAATTAAAGATTTCTAAAGGGAGGAGAGAGAAAAACTCAATTTTTCCAGAGGCTGTGTCAACATCACAGGCCTACCCTCAGTCACGTGCCTGGCACGCTGCTTTGCCTCCAAGGTAGAAGGCGGGACTGACTGTTATCAGTACGCCAGGGTCTGGTTTTCCACTAACTTGCCCCCACCAGGAGACACTTAAGCAATCCATTAGTTCTGCTTAGGGCGCATGTTTTGAATTCACTTCCTTTGACTTAATTTCAGTCTATTTCTCATTCTCCCTACTCCTGTTTTATAGACTCTAAAGTTTCATTTATTAGTCATTGCCTAATACATCGATTTCATGCAACAAGCACAAATGTATGTAATGATTAAACCAGAGACACTGTATATGATCGTTCATTTTTAAATTACTTATTATACATTTTCATTGTCCCCATGACCTTTCAAAGTCCCCTGCAACCATATTCAATTCTAAAGGAAAAGAATGGCTAAAGTGATCATTAACCTGGATTAGGGTCACCATTGATCTCAGGATCCAAACAAGACACTGTTCAATTTGATCCTCTCTCCCTGTACTTACCCTAAATATATTTTTTTATTGATTGACACCTCAAAATACATCTGGGAGCAATGGTTGGTATAAGAAACAATTTTCTCTAGGAACCTGGCTAGAGGGATTACTTCAAAACCATTTGATAGCCTGTATCTGGATAAAATCAGGTGTATTTTCTCTCTCTCCCTACATATATTTCCGACTATATTTCCAGCACTATTTGTCATAATTTAGTGACATGGGAGTTAACATATAAGATGAAAGAGAAAAATAAGGCCTATTTCTCTCTCTGTCATGATTAAAAAGTTTTCATTGTTTCTTAACCAAAAGGTGTCAGATAGTCTCTCACAACGGCAAAATTCTCAGGCCCTTTCTAGCTTCTAGGAAGTGAGGTTTTCTGAGCTCCCAGATAAGCAGGTCTGTGGAGGAAAACAATAATTCCACAGAGTAAGTCTGTGGCAAATTCATTCCCATTTGTCCCATATCCGCACAACCTATCAGGCACTCTGAATCACCCTTCCTGCGTCTTTATAAAACGTAGAGATAAAAATCTCAGTCCTCTCAAACATTGTTACTTATGACCTGAGGACACCTGGCAGGATTCCTCGGCAATGTTAACATTTACTAAGTTTCCAGGGCAGGAACTTGGAAAACAACCTTCCAGTGCAGTGAGTCCGTTTCCTGGAGACGGAGTTCACCACTTTCATTGTATTCCACAATATTATGATTCTAAGGCTTTTTGTCAATGTACACACTTTAACCCAAGACTCATAAAATGGCTTCATATTCTATTGGTCTGAGAGATGTTTAAAGCTATTAATATTTCTCTCATCTGACTTTTGAGCGTTCTCTGGAGAGCCCTTTACTGGTACCCTCTAAAAACCACTCGTGAGGCACTTTCTCCTCCTTAGCCTCTGGTTTTCTGTTGGTCCCTTCCTCAGAGACTCTCTCTGTTAAATTCCTGTCACCCCTGAGGAAGTCCTCTTGGGTCAGGGTAGACTTCAGGCCCAATGTCTATATTGTACAATGAACACACGTCTTGTCGCCCTGCTACCATTCCCTTGCCCACTCAGAAGGGCCCCCAGCACGCCTCCCTGACAGATCACCACGTTCTTCTCTGCTGAGACTACAAGGAGCCTCAGAACACCTCTCAACATACCTCTTCAGGTATCTACTACCTAGGAAGCGATGAAAGCCACCAGATGGTTGGTCTAGCTGAAACACTCTGGGTTGTGATCCACATTACACCTAGACCTGGCCCTAGTGAGTGTTGTCACTTTGGGCATCCATGTAAAATAGAGGAGTGGCCCTACCTGAGAACAAAATGAAACCACCTTGAAAATAAAAGGAGCAGTAAACAACTCCAAGTCAGTTTGGTATAAAGAGAGAAAAAAAAAATAACTGAAAACCAGATTAGCACAAATCTCTTCAACAGGGCAATGGAGTGAACTGTCACTGATAAATATCATTGCATGGCTTATTGGTTCAAAGCGTAAGCTCTAGAATCAAGATTGCCTGGGGGTGAAAACTGGCACATGATATTCCTGCAATGACTTGGGCAGATGATCTAATCTCTCTCTGAGACTCTGTTGCCTCATCTGTTCAATGGAGGTGATAATGGGACCTACCTGATGGGGTTGTAGTAAGGATTAAATAATCCATATGAAGCTCTCACATGGTGCCGAATTTAATTATCATTATGTATTAATAGGTCAGTGTATGCTGGCTTTCATCATTACTATTCACAACAAATTTAAAATTAATCCTTATCATCATTCTAAACCCAACTCTAATGATGCTGCCTCCTCTTTGAGGTAGTCTTTACCCACTGATTTACTCCCGAGGATTTTTATTATCATGACAGAAGAGGTCACTTTCTGTTCCTTTGTTGAGATTGTTTGCTTTTCCAGCTATCTTTTCCATGAGGCGGTTAATTTTTCAAGTTCAATGTTTGCATTTCACCTGTTTGCCCCATTTTGCATCTCACCTCCTAGCCTAAATCTGTGCACCTAACATTTAATAGATCTTCCCACTGAGCTAAATAAGATACATTAATGGAAGCATTTCCTTCCAAGTTACAGAATCAAGGAACACCAACTTTAAAGAAAAATAAATTTACTGATTTCACTGTTTCTATAGTATTTTATTTCATGAACAAGGTATCTAACCTCTCTGTATCTCAGTTTCATTTTCTGAAAAACAGGGATTGTGATTGTACCTGAGTCCTAAAATTATTGCAATCACTAAACAAACTAATATATGCAAAGTGCTTAGGACAATGTCTGGCACATGATGAATAATAAATGTTAGCTATTGTTTTTATTATTACATTCATTATTTTCAAGGAAATTGTGCTTGCCAGTCAGTAAGATGATAAAAATAGATGAGCCAGAAAAGAGAAGAAAGAAAAGTGGAAATTGGAGAGAGAAGCAAAAGGAAAGGGCATAGAAAAAAACAGAAAAATGAGTCTGGATCCAGTCTACCTCACTCCCCATGGAAGAGTCCAAATCTCAAGAGTGTCTCAAGGAAATGTTTTGACCTTTTGGGACTCCTGGGGAAAGGAGATCCACATAAAACTTTGCTGCTTTTGGACTGTGTTTCATTCTTTCTATGCTCTTGAAGATGGCCATGCGGTGGGGGGGAAATTAAATGTCACTGTCTTATTTAAACTCCCATGAGCAATCTATTTTTGTGTTTAAAGAACGACACACTGGTTATATGCCCTATGAACCTACTAAATGGAAACAGATGGTGCCACCTAAAGAACTGAAGGCAAAACATGTGAGAAGTCAATGTATTAAATACTTTCAGAACAGAGTCAAATACACTGGATGATTAAACATTATTTTAAAGATGAGGAAAGATAAGAGTATTCTATAAATACTATAGAATAAAATGCTATACTATATTGAGTAGCAGCTTAACTATCTTATATTTTTAAAGGTTTGGTACCAGTTGATTTCATTTCCACTCAAGAAAGATGTGAGTTTACAGAATGCTCGGGGAACGATATCAACTATGAAAGTCAATATCCTACATAAGCGCAAGAGAATGCCACATGTCCCCAAATCAGCAAAGGTGCCACTCCTCAAGGTTAAATGGTTTAAATTTATCAAAATCAAACATCCAAGAAGAGATTGTGAAATTTTAGATGCATATATTTCTCAACTGTAGTTTTCTTCGTTACCTGTTTTGCATCAACCACAGCTAATGTTAGATATTTTCTGATTATAGACTACTAGTTTTAGTGGATTCAAATAAGAACATTTCATAAGATCTGAGTTGCCATATTGTTATTTATGGTGCACAACAGTTGATGTTTGGGAGAATAGGCCAAATATTGTTTCTTCACGTTGATGACCGGGGGCGAGGGGCAGAATTATTTGGGCATGCCTGTCATTCTACTGGTTCTGCTGTAGGCATAGTCAGAGAGAAGCAAAGACAGAGTGGCAAGAGAGACACAGAGAAAAAAGATGAGTCCTAGCAGAGAAGCAGAGCCAGAGGGGGCAGCTGGAAAGACAAAGAAGGCAGAGACAGGGAGACAGTAAGGACAGAAAACTAGAGAGGAAAGAGGTGGTACTGCTTACTACTGGCTTTACTTCTCCTAGGGCATGGCTCTCCTTTGTGTCTGTGAGATTTATATACCCATGTCATAAACTCTCTTTTTTAACCAAGCTGGTTTGAATGAATAGATGTCCCTTTCAAGGAAATAATTGAAAAATCAAATGTTTTTCCATTTATTGACTTGGGGAAATTAATTGTCCAATATTAAAAATATTAATTACTTAAGAAGACAATTATGTGGAATTTACATACACACAAACACACATGCACACACATATGCTGTATACACATATGTACACATATATAATTTTAAATATATATAATATACAATTAAAGGAAATACTGTGAATAGTATATATACATATATATGTGTATACATACACATATACACAAACACACAGAGGTGCATATACATTTTCCCCTCTGAGAAGTGGAAAATGTTACTATGAGAATCTCATATCTCAATCTCACTCCATGGTAATCATGTTTGCAAGCTCAAAGTCTTTAGTCCCTCGGCAAATGCTAAGATGCCAACACTAGCTGCCTCTGGCTTAACTCCTACCCCTCGATTTCTTACCCAAATAGCTGTCTGTCTCCTAAAAGCCTGAAATATATGAACATGTGGCTCTCAGGATTTAGTGTGACTGAAAAGTATTGTATATGGGCCATAAATATTTATCCTTCTCCTTAATGATTTTGAAAACATGAAAGTAGCTCTGCTAACTCTCAGGTTTGACAATAGCCATAAATACATGTACTCAGGGTACTTAGCATTCATAATTTATCAATAGGCCCCCTGTCAAACTGCTATTGGACCCAAAACCATTAGGGTAAGATAATAAGTCAATTGAAAAGCATAGATATTTTTCTCCTAGTCGATTTCATGGAATTTCGAGGTCCAAGAAACAAAATTAATTCATTCACTCATTCATTTAATAAATACTTATTGAACACCTTACATATGTCAGGACAGGGTACTCCAGTTAGCACAAGAAAGGAAAAGAGAATCAGAAATGAATAAAATTGAGAAAGTCCCAAATAAGAGACTTTGCTTTTTCCAAAATTAAGAGATTGATTGTATTGTAGGTAAGCATAAGCTTACTCCACCAAAATCAAGACATAAAACATGTGCACACACAATTCAACATACATTCTTTTTCATCTACTCTGTGTCCATTAATCATAATGATCTTGTGAGAAATGCTTTGTAAATCCTTGTTTTTGGAAAGCATGTAACAAAATTGCACATTCCATTCTTGTGGTGAAGATGGAGAAATATGGGTTGGGTATTTTAAATTGAATCCTACTTTTGAGTGAATTATTCAATAAATATTTGTTTTCCTCATAGTATGCACTTCCTGGTGTGAAATTATCTAGATGAAAAGGACTAAGTCTTGTAATCTATCATAGAAGGGAGATATCTATGAGCAGACTACAAGGCAGCAAGTATTAAGTGGCCTAGAACATGTGCAGACAAATGGTTTTGGAAGTGCAGAGAGTGGATAAATTGTTCTGGGTGGTCAAGGAACACTAGGAAGTTTGTATTTAGATTAGCTATTATAGGAGAGGGAGAATTTCAACAGATAGCAATACGAGGACAAGGTATTCCAGCCAAAGGGGTTACAAGTAGAAATCCCATATGGAGCAGAGAATGGTTGAATTTGCTTACAGACCAGCCATGTAGTTATGGTGGTAAATCTTAAACATGAGAAATTTGAACTTAATATGGTACACCTTGGGAATCAGTAAGGATTGGATTGGGGGGAGGCAAGTAGTGCTCATTGGTGTATTGGTATTAGCTTGGGAAAGAGTTCTACACTGGTCAGCACCTTTGTCGTGTCTTGAATGAAGACGTAAAAGGCATGCTTCCAGAGGATGAAATGGAGGCTGGGGGCGATATCAACCCATGTTGGGTCACAAGAGCAGTTGACAGTTGTCTCAACTTGAATGGACTACCCATGACTTGTCCAGTGATCTTTTCACTGCTATCTCCACCCCTAGCAATTCATTATGAGGCTAAGTTGGGAAAGGTAGAATAGTATCTCTATTTTACTGATGAAAACACTGAGAAGCACTCAGGGCAATCTGCTGCTTCTAGCTCATACAAGAAGCAAAACATATGGGAACACAACCTGCAAGCGCCAGTCTCCAGGACACCCACGGTTCACCTTCTCCCACAGTGCTGTGGACCCTCGTCATCTCGTGATCTGGATAAGCACGTCCCCGTGGCACCCTCCCCTTGATGAGACCACTTTTAAAAACTGAGGAAATGTTAGGTCGGAGAAGAAGAACGTGGGTAACACAAAAGTGCTTTGTGTCTCTGTCCTTGTGCTGGCCCTTATTAACCTTTACTGAAAACAACATGAACTTACAGTCGTTCTGCAGGAGCTTGTCCAAGGAATCGCGCCACTGAAGGGCCTCATCCGGCGAGGGTCTAAATCAAGAATAAGGGAATAAAAAGGTTGCAGCATAAGTAGAGAGTTAATACATATACCTGCGATGACTTCTCCCTGCTTTCCTTAGACAGAAATCATAACAACCAATGATCCATCCACACGACAAGCAAGTTCAAGTTATTTTCTTCCTAACAATTGGGTTTGATGAGCTGGGTTTGCTTTCATACATCTGTGCTCTTAATACATATCTTCATCTCTGTTTGAACAGTGTGGTTAGGTCTGTCCCTTTTTAAAAGTAGAGTATATTTTTCATCAAGCTGTGTCTTGATATTCTTGTATATCCCATGACAGTGGTTCCAGTCATTGTCTTTTTTTGTGTGTGTGTGTGACTATAACTTAATGAAAACCAGTTATCCCATTACAGGAGTTAAACTCATGTTCTCCACTTCACCAATACGGCATGTTAACTACTTAATTTAATCAGCAAAGGGCATTTGGTTTCACAGGCACGTCCTAAGGCCACCTCGTTAAGGCTAGTGGAAGACAGTAGGTATGGTGCTGCCTCATGTTGGGAATGTGATCATAGCAAGTTTACATTTAAAAAAAATGTTGATGTATTTTTCCTGCTCATTTAGAACAGGATTTTTTTTTAAGGTTTACTATTTCTGATGAAAAAAAAAGTGGTTAATATACCCTAAAGAAGAATGTTGTACACAAATGCTCAACATGCAGACTCAAAAGGGGAAGGTACTAGCCAACATATAATTTCTCCTTGGGCTGCTTTTGTTTTAGCATTTATATATATATAGAAACTCTGCAGCTATTTCACTTTAAGCACCAATTTTTCTCTCACAGCAGGATGTGTCAAGTCAAGCTGCTGTTGTCTGAGAAAAATGTCTGGGTGTGCTCTCCCCGGCTCACCCTGCTTGAACCCTGGCATTATCATGTGGGTTCCACGTTGTCAAATCAAAACAGAATGACAAGGCATTTATTAGAATACTAAGGCCAATGGAGATGTTTTTCCTAAACTGGGATATTCTTAGTTTTTAAATTGTTTATCAACTGTCCAGACAATCCAAAAAAATTCCCGTGTCTAGTTCTCATAAAATGGTATTTTTTGGGTTTTAATTATTTAGATTAACAACTTTGGTTGATAAGATAATTCCTTGTTCTACTTTTCATTTTGCTGTCCCAGGCTGAGATTCAGTCTAACATTATTTATGTAAGGAGTCCAAGACGGTAGTAGGTTTTTTGGCTAAGGTATTGTGAATAATCCCTTTACTTCTCAATTGCGGAACATGTACAGTTTCTGAGTCCTAATTGTATGATTTTTTCATAAAGTTTTATTTTCACTCTTTGAAAGTTAAATTTGCCAAAAACTGAGGATAACAAACCTTGTGGAACAATCTTAGGTAATTTCTGTTTTCCTGGCTAGAAAGAGGTATCACAGATTAAAAACATACTAATTCATCAGACATTTATTTCTAACAAATGAACTACCTCCCTCTCTTCCTATTCCTCTGGATAGTATAAAGGAGCACAGGAACAACAAATAGAATAAACAGGGAATTAGAAGTATGTCCTTATATTTTCCTGGTTCATTTTACTTCTAACCAGAAAAGCACCTGTTTACTAGAGGTCAATAACTCCGTTCAGCTCTTCTATATGACCTCATACTGAGAACTGTTCCTATGTACGTATGACTTCATACCTACAGGTTTAGCAGAAGGCTAACTTAAGTTCTTCACTCCGGTGGTTCCATGTTTTGCACATAATAGGCACCAACCAAGTCCCTATTAATTGTTGACAGAAGCAGCAGGATATTAAATTATTGGACAAAAAGAAACTCTCTCAGAGAAAGGGGAAGGGCTGGTTTAGTCACAGGATTCCCTGATTTTATAAATATTTTCATAAAATGACATCACCTTCCCGCCCCCCTCTTCCTCTGCTTAGTACCGAGGTGCACAGGAAGGAGAAATGACATGCGCAGGTGCACCCAACTTAAACATATTACCAGATCCACTTTGTCTCAACTGGTCTTATTAGAACCAAACTAATGGTCAGTAGGAGCAGCACATCACAGCCAAAATTAAATTCTTGAAAAAGACATGTGCAGAGCCCGCTTGGGGGTGACATGAATCCAAATTGATTTAAGAGCACAGTCAAGCAGGACACATTCCCTGCAGCATGAATCCCAGTGTTCTGATTACCAGCTAGGAGGTAACAGAGGTTCATCCTGTCCCAATTCTCAGAATTTGCCAGCCCTCGTTTAGGCTGACTTCATTGGAAGCAAGATAAATGCAGATCTAAATGACCAAGAAGTGCCCTGGTTTGCAAGGTCATGGCTGATCACAAAGCGTGGGCATAGTCTCTGCATGTGGGTGTGCTGGGGAGGAAGAGGAAGCCAGTTTGAATGAAAATCAAAATAAACATTTATAGAGAAGATTAACCACGTGTTCTGTAATGCCTGGCGCAAATGCCACCTGGCCCCGGAAGTGACCATCCCGGCTGGAAACAGCTCTCTTTGCCACTGAATCTCTCACATGGCAATGATGCACTCACCACCTAAAGGTATAGCTTGCCATCCATCCCTGGAGAGCTTTTCCTATTCTCCTCTATCGTATGGCACATTCCCTACAGCAGATGTCCTCAAACTACTGCCCACGGGCCACATGCGGCCTGCCGAGGACATTTATCCGGCCCACAGGGTGTTTTTGCGGCGCTGCCTGTCCTGCTTAGCAGCCAACTCGTCCGGGGCCCACAGTGCGCATGTGTGGAATGTGCACCGCACTCTCCAACGGCCCTCCAATGGTCTGAGGGACAGTGAACTGGCCCCCTATTTAAAAAGTTTGAGGACCCCTGCCCTACAGCATCAACCCACCTGGCACTAAATGTGTGTCAAATCCCATAAGCAAATAAATGATGGCTAGTTTTGCCCAGAGTGAGCCTGGTTGATGAAAGAAAGCCACAAACAACCCAAAACTTAGACTTCAATGACTTTCCCATGAGCCACTTACCATAGCTATTGGCAACTCCAACACTAGCTATAACCACGGGATAGTGTTTTAGCCTCTCTAAGCACCAGCAAATTGTTTCTTATTTATTTAATTTATTTTGGTTTGGGTTTGGTTTGGTTTTTAATCTACACAGTGCCTGGCACATATGTAGACATTCTTTTTTTTTTTGAGACAAAGTCTCACTTTGTTGCCCAGGCTAGAGTGAGTGCCGTGGCGTCAGCCTAGCTCACAGCAACCTCAAACTCCTGGGCTCAAAGGATCCTTCTGCCTCAGCCTCCCGAGTAGCTGGGACTACAGGCATGCGCCACTATGCCCGGCTAATTACTATTTTTCTATATATATTAGTTGGCCAATTAATTTCTTTCTATTTATAGTAGAGATGGGTTCTCGGTCTTGCTCAGGCTGGTTTTGAACTCCTGACCTTGAGCAATCTTCCCGCCTCGGCCTCCCAGAGTGCTAGGATTACAGGCGTGAGCCACCGCGCCCGGCCAGACATTCTTGATAATGTTCTCAAATGTTCTTGCTCTTGATAAGGAAAATAAAATCCAAGCTATTTATTGGCATCCGTAGGTGCCTACTCTGCTCTGCTGTCCTACCTTATGGTGTTGTCTGCTCATAACCAATCTTGAGCAACCTGGATGCCATGGATGGGATACAGATTTAAAAAAAAAAAAGACCTGCCACTTTCTGATGTCCACATGTGGGCCAAAAATTGTACATACATCTTTAATCTTCATAACAAGGCTCACCCTGCAGTCACCCAGGTGAGGGTATGTGTAGGACGCCATCCTATCCTGTTCTCCACCAGCAGATTAGGCACAATGTGTGGAGGTCATTCTTGAGTGTAAAATGAGAAACAGGACGTCAACAAAAAAATGTAGTAAAACGTACTGATGTAGTCAGGGACAAAAGGGACATTTAGAATATAAAATAAACTATAAGAATATCTAGATCAGCTCCTGGCATTTTGCAACTGACTATATCATAATCCTGGGTAACAGTTATCACAGATTAAACTTATGTGGCCGACTAATTTTGTTCATCGTTTATTATGAGAACCTACAGCAGTGCCTTAGGTTCCTCTCCCATCCAGAGGGTGGGTGGCAGTGGGAGCATCTAGAGAGAGAGAGAAGATGGGGTAACACCCTGGGTTGGAAGCTAAGGAAGAGAGTTTTAAGAGGAGGGCACCTGGTGAGCTGTCGATTGCTATAGACAAGTGGAAGATGGGGCCTTAGGGACAACAGCTTCAGTGAGGCAATAAGGTTTAAACAGCGTAAGAAAGAGATAAAGTAAATACTGGAAGCAGTGAGTATAGACTTCTAAAATCAACCAGTGAAAGTAATTTCAGGTACTTTCACTGAAAGGTAAAGGAGCAGAAGGGGTGAAAGGCAGGAGGGTGTTTTTCAGAGTGGAATACAGTACTTGTTTGTTCCTAGGGAACGGGGATCCAGAGGAAGAAAGAGCAATTAAGCATACTAAAGTGGTAACAGAAGCTGGCTTTGGATGGTACGGATATAGCCAGCTTTTTTCTATTTTTCTCTGTGGTACATTTTTTCCAAGGAGAATTTAAAAATATATTAAAAAATAAAAAAAGCTTTTTTAAAAAAAGGATTCTACTGAGGTCAATAACCCAAAGAAGATGAGAGGAGTTAAAAATACTTTCAGTCAAGAGGATTATTTTTTTTTCTTCTGAGGGGAAAACACAGGTAAAAAAAAAATACAGAGAATTTTTAAAGCAGAGAGAAGAGAGCTGATAGAGCTTGGGCAGAACACAATCTCGTCCTGTCAGTCATGTTTGCCAAACATGAGGAGGTAGGACGGGGTTTATGGGTTTGGAAGAGAGTGGGAAACTTATTTAGTGGTCACTGCTGAAAATGCAATAGAGACACAAGAATTCTCTAGGGATAGGAAGGATTTTTTTTCCAAAACAATTCAAACTTCTGCAGGAAGAAAGGGGGCAGAAGACAAAAGAAGCAAGTAATTCAATAAATGGTCAGCCCCAGGTTTTCTTCCAAAACATCTTCTCTCTGAATCCCTGTTCAGCCAAATAGTTCAAGTGGGATATTAAAGCAGACATTCAAAGCAGGAAATGTAGTAGTATATTTTTAAAGTTAATGCCAACAGATCAGTAATTACCACATTGTTTACTTCAAAATAGACTTTTTGATCTGTTGCTGCTCTGAAATGAGGTTCTTATTCTCCACTAGTGCTTGGTGCCCGCTTCTGGTTGAATTAGCTTCTCCTTTTTAAAGGCAGAAAACTAAATTATGCCTCACTCCTGAGTTGAGATCACTTTGAAGTAATAATAATAATAATAATAAAAAAGGAGGATGGAAATATCCACTTAAATGGAAAAAGATTTTTAAAAGAAAAAGAATAACCCATCTCGATATTTCCTAACCAATCCAGCTATATTAAGTTGAAGGTCATCTGGACAAAGGACAAGTTGGCCAATTTATACAAATACTAAATTTAAGGAGAGAAATAGAGGTTTAAGGGGACTGCTGTATTTTTACCACACTTCTGTGATATCTTCAAAGAGCAGAGTGAAGGAGTTTGAATGAATACATTTGTCTTATCTTCTTCCCACTTCCTTTTCTTTTATTTATTTATTATTATATTTTTTATTTTAGCGTATTATGGGGGTACAAGTGTTAAGGTTACTTATATTTCCCATGCTCCCCTCCCCCCTCAAGTAAGAGCTTCAAGCATGTCCATCCCCCAAATGCTGCACATCTTACTCATTGTAGTTGTATATACCCATCCCCTCCTCCCCGCTCCCACCCTCCCAACACCCGATAAATGTTACTCCTATATGTCCACTTAGGTGTTGATCCGTTAATCCACTTCCCCTTCTTGACTTTCATGGGTATCTTTGTTTTAAAGGGAAGGTGGTGTGTAGATGCCCAGGCAGTGATGGTCTATGCAGCTAACAAAGCGATGATAAACAAGGGGGCTGCTGTGAGTAGTGTTATTCAGTTAAAGCAGGGCCCATGTACATTACTAGAGCTGGATTCGCTGCCATAACATAGCGATCAACTCTTTATAGAAACCCATGATGTCTAAACTGACAGGAGGAGTGGGGAGGAGGTAGGGGAAGAGGAAGGGGCAAGGGAGGGAGGACTGCAGACACTCAACAGCAATATTAACTTATGAATTGGGGAAAATGCTTGGCATGCATTAAATAGAAATAGCCAGTCAGGTATTCATGCCTCACTTATGTTAAAAGTTCCTCTCCTGGACCTTGATGGGACACTATCTTGAAGAAGAAGCTATTAGGCTTAAATTGGCTGCCCTCCTCATCTTTAGCAGCTTTCTGAGGGAAGTGTTTCCCTTCTACCTCCCCGCTGAGCAGGCAGCCTAGGATAGTTCCTTAGCAGGTGAGCATCCAGGGCTCATAACTAATGGCATCAGCATGGTTTCCTGACCCAGGCAGTAAATGAACAGGTATTTTGACAACACTCATAGGTGGTAAATAACTAAGGAGGGTGGCTGACGTCATTTTATAAATTATGGTCTCTCTCCAAAGAGAAGGCAGAGCCCTGTCCTTTATTTTTTAACTATTCTGACAGTATTCAATATTAGGCTTCGGACGTGAGATAGCAAAAATCAAAATGCTTATTTATAAACCAACTCTCTGAGGGCTCTTGTGATCCTTAACGAGTAACTGAAGGGGGTAGTGGCACAGATGAGGGATGGTGCTAAACATTTGAGAAACAGCTGTCCCCTGGAGGAAAATGTGTGGAACCCTTATTCATGACTCACTTCTGGGCCTTGGCTGGTTTCTCTGGCTTCTCATTGTATGGAATGACAAGGTCAACAGCCGAGTCTGGCTTCTGGAGGAGAATTCCCAACTTGATCTTAATCTCCTTGGCCCTGAAAGGAGAGATAGATGTAAGGGGAAATGAGGACACCATATGAGCATGCAGATCTAAAAAAAAAACAAAAACATTTCTTTCTGCGTCAGAGAAACAAAAATGAACAAAATCCCATTTTACTTCTTGCATTTTTGTTGTGGCAGAAAGAATACGAATGCAGAAATTGAGACACACGAGTTCTAATCTTTAGCAATCGCCAAGCTTTTATTATGTCTCTAGTTAATTTGCATTATTTCATTTTAATCTTAATTATGGTCTTACTTACATGCATTCTCTCATTTAATATATGGTGGATACCATAGTATTGTTTCCTCATTTTGCAGATGAGGAAACTGAATGGCAGGGAGTTTAAATAAGTTACTTGAGATAACGCAGTCAGCAGGTGGTGGTCCCAACCCAGTCATCAATTAGACGTATGACATTTAAAAAAAAAAAATATATATATATATATTTTTTTTTTTACTGCCAGACCTCTCAGTTTCCTCATCTGTAAAGTGATGGAGTTAATCTAGATGTTTTCTTGAACATTTCCAGCTATAAAATTAAATCATTCTGCTTGATGATTTATTTCTCTGTAAAGTTACTTTTCCAAACTCTTGCCCATCGTTCCATGTGGCTGTTGGAGTACCTTACATGCAGTGAGCCCTCAGTAGGTGAGTGTTAATCGACACAAGACTCACTGTAGCAGCATTTACTATTTCTTTGTCTCTTCAGCATTTTAGGGAGTAGATGTGGTCAGAATTCTGGGTATTCTTTCATGATAGGACCCAACTGTTTTCATGCTCGGTGTTAAGCTGAAAACCAAGCAGAAGGCAAATCTTAAATATTAACCCAGAGGACAAGCTGGATATTGAGAAACCTAAAAAGCTGTCCTTTCCCTTCACCTTGCACATGTTTTTAGGATAGGGTTTGTCATATTGTATTGTAGGTATTGATTTATGTGTCTGTTCTCCCAGCTGGATATGAGAACTCTTTGAGAATAGGAATTTAGTCTTAAACACCTTTTAACCCACGTGCCTAGTACAATGCCTGACAACACAGTAAACATTCAAAAATATTTTAACCAATACCACGTGCACTCACCATTAAATTGGAAATAATCGATCAACACTTACGTGCACATGTGAAAATAACATTCATTGGACATCAAGCGAGTGGGAGGGGGGTGGAGGGGATGGGTAAATTCATACCTAATGGGTACAATGCACACTATCTAGGGCATGGACATACTTATAACTTTGACTCAAATGGCACAAAAGCAATTTATGTAACCAAAACATTTGTACCCCCATAATATTCTGAAATTTAAAAAAGTTAAAAAAATATTTTTCAAAGTAAAATAAAAATATACTGATTTTATTCCTCACAAATCTGCTAACATATACTCCCAGTCAATGCTAATATCCATAACCAACGTCTTAAAGAGCTATAATAGGGTTCATGTCGTGGCCAGATAGGATTTTACTATTATAAATGCACTTTCTCCATTTATTCACAGTGACATAGTGAATAAAATGCCAATTATGGATATTAAAGAGGAAAATTTAAGGAAACCTACTGCAGTAACTTACAAAAGCCCTATAAATATCTCATTTATATCATAACATATTTTCCTTTAGGCTAGGAAATATGGTTTTCAAACTGTTATGACTTAGGATTGTTCACATCTACAGTGTCTTTTCCTTTTCACTTCTTTCTGCTTTCATTCTTTCTCTAGGATCCTCTCACTGCCCGACACCAACTCAGGTCTCACACTTCATCAGCACAAGCTCAGCCAAGCACAGCTTTATGTTATGGTAGGAACTGGACTGTTCTGCTGAGAGAGCTTATATAACATAGTGAATGACAGTAAGTGTTGCTTTAATTCCAGGCTTCTCATGTTACCTAAATTATCTAATGTTCGGGGACTTTTTTTTTTTTTGCCTAGAAATTGGGACTGATGAGATAGTACATACCAGCACTTTTTGAGATGATTAAATATGTTAATGAATGTGAGTCACTTAGCACAGCATTCGACATATAATACTGCTTCTTCAAAGTTAGCTCTGACTGCATAATCATTTTTCCAAACAACAGCCCATGTTCCCTAGCTTCCAGCACCAAATGGAAACAACCAAACAATCCCCCACCAGTTACTAAAGAATTACTACACCCACCACTTTCTATATTCTACCTCTGGAGAGAAGAGCTGCCGATTTTATATGTATCTGAAATACGAAGAAAACATTAAGGGAAAGGGGAAAATGCATCCAATATTTGTGGCTACCCTCTGCTGGCTAATGTGTAGTACTACAGTCAGAGGTACAAGGTCCTTTTCAATCAAGACACACTATCTTACCCATCCCACGAAGAGCTTCATCCATAATGTCTCTCTTCCTGGCTCTAGATGTCCTTTGCTGCCCTTATCTAAGGGACAGGAATGCAGTAATTGTTTCCAGTTTCAACTTTGACCCAATAGTCCACTCATTAGATAACAATTATCTAATGTACATCTCTCGGGTTTGGTTTTATTGTTTGGTTGATTATTCAGGTTTTTGTTTTTGCTTTTTAACCCCTCTCAACTTCTGTTTCTTTTTCCCTTCTCTCTTTCATTCCGCTTGAGCCTTTTCCTTTTGTAAAAAGCAGGAAAATATTTGTGTTTGATTGCCTGGTGCCAGAGTAATAGTCGGACATGAAGGGGTGATTAGAACTAAGGAGTTAGATGTTTTTAAAAGAAGTATTCATTAAGTCATTCATTAATTCCTTATTTGCTCACTGCTCATGTTTACTGCATCAGGCAGAACACAGTAAACATAGGAAAACACAGGATTTGCTCGTTGCTTTCAAGATGCTTGTAGCCCAGTGCGGTCTTAGACTTGGAAATAATCACAAGTAACTACTTAAGGAGAGAATATGCAGAGAGCAGCAGAACACTGGTGGTGGTGGGGGGGGGGTGGCCCAGTGTCCACAAGGGTGAGTTGGGGGGATTTCTCAGAGGAGGTGAAGGTGGAACTAGAGAATGAGCAGCAATCCGCCAGGTGGGCAGGAAAGGAACAGGCCTTCCAGGCAGAGAAGAGTGTGTGTATGTCATTTCAAGGGATGCAAAAGTAGTCTGTACTGCATGAATGTTAAATGTGAGAGGAGGAGCAGAAAGACAATTAGAGTATGCTGGCTAACTCACCTCTCCTTCCAGATAGCGGGATGGATGGCAGAGGGACCTTGTACAGTACCTACCGTGTTTTCCTGAAAATAAGACAGGGTCTTATTTTTTTTTTTTCCTCAAGAAGACACCCTAGGGCTTATTTTCAGGGCATGTGTTATTTTTTTTTTAAGTATGGTACAACAATCTACATTTATTCAAATATAGTGAAGTCGCCTTCTTCTGGAACATCATCATAACTCTCCAGACCCCGAATTCCATCCTGAATTTCTTGCAACTCTATTTCCTTTAGAATCATTGGTCCCAATCTCTCATGTCGAGCAATAGAGCTCTCATGGGGCAGATGAGAAGGGCTGCTCCTCTTCTTTACCGCTCTGTGACAAAACGCATGGGTTGTGCAGGTACGCTGCGTAGTCACGCCCATCACTAGGTCTTGTTTACGGGGTAGGGCTTATATTGAGCAAGCGCTTAGAAATCCTGCTAGGGCTTGTTTTATGGCCAGGTCTTATTTTTGGGGAAACACGGTAGCTTGCTGCAAATTTTTGTATGAAAACGAGAAAGAGGTAAAACTACTGAAAAGTGCTTTCAAAGACTGTCTCTATGTAAAGAAGTGGCATCCTACCTTATGAGCTGAATGTGTCTCAGATTTTCTTTTACCATTTCAGGAAGCAGTGGTCCATAAAAACACTATTTCTAAATGGTGGTCAAATTTTTAAGACATCCCACACACACACACACAAAAAAAAAGCGTTTTAAAACCAGGATGAATCCGAACCCTACTACTATTTTATCTATGTCACTGCTCAGTTTTCGTGTGTGTGTGTGTGTGTGTATGTGTGTGTGTGTGTGTGTGTGTAGGGGGGTGATTTAGAAATCAACTAATGTTTATAACATTGCCTATAGAAAATCATATTCCATTTCCTCAGAGCAGACAAACATACTAGAACATCAGGTTACTCTTTTCCGCATGTTTGCTCAGGGAGATGTAAGGGAGAAAGGAAACGATGCAATGCCTTGAAACACACTTCTTTCTACCGGCTTCTACTTCTGCTAGGTATACGACCAAGTATAGAAGATTAAAAAGTAAGAGAATATATAAAAAGTCCGGAAGTGCATGTGACTTAATTATGAGACCAGAGAATTAATAATATTATTGCATTTCTGGTCACTCAAGAGTAACAGTTTAAAGGCCAAGGAGTTAACATATGCTGCAGTTCAAACAACTTTAAGCATTGCACTTTTCCACAAGACTAAACAACGTTAGCAGATTGTTTTTTCTCCTCAAGAGTTCCTGGAATATCATTTCACCCCTTTCCCGCCATAGCCTCAAACACAAAAATATGGGAATGAAACAAACCAAGTGGAAAATCAAACAAAACAATAATGCAAATGTACCAAACTATTTTCCTCTTTAAAGATAAACTTGAATGCATCTGACATTAATTTAATGCCAACAACAACTCTATCTACCAAAGAAAACTTTCCAATTTGTTTATGATTTCAGACTCAAGTTTCTGGTTCTGACTGCACACAAGGCATTTCTTCCCGGCTCTATTACATTAATGCTTGTTAACAAGAAACTATTTTTATCTCTTCTCATCTACCCCCTCCTCTTGTTATCCTTTTGTTTTACAAAGAAAAACTTGTTTTGAAATAAAATCAATTGGAAATGCCTGGATGAAAGTTTAATTAAAGGTTCAGAGGAAGATAATTCTTTGTCTAGATGACTCACGCTAGTGATTTCAAACTGAAAAGGGTTGAATAATTCTAGGGTTGTGCAAGTTTAAATCTGCTCCTTGTGTCAGTATGCTGGCTCCCTGGGAAATCAAAATTCAAAAGGCTGTGGGCCACCTCAGTCC